GGCTGAACCCCATGCCAGTCAGGCAAGGAAGAGCCCCACGAGCCCTGCGTCACCGTGAACCTGCATGAATTTCCAGCTGAATCCCATCCCAATCTTAAATCCTCCAAGATCTTAAATCCTGTTTCTCACTCATCAAGAACAGACAAAATGACAGTTCCTCATTTTAACTTGCTTCGACAGTAAGGCAGCTGTTGGGTTGAAGCCACCAGCGAGCTGGTGATGTTTCAGTGGCTGGAGACTGGAACCAAAAAAGGTGAGGGCAACAACTGAAACTTAATCAGCTAAATACGGTGGCAAGGAAGAGGAAGAGTTACTGTTGGTGGAGTTTGGAAGAGTCGTGAGCGAGTTTGGCCTGAGGAGAAGGGAGTTGGAGTGTTTCTGGTAGCAGCAGTTGAGGAAGCAGAAAGAGGGAGGGGAGCCTGAGTGTATGTTTGGCCTGACAAGGCAGAAAACCTGCGTGGACTTGTGTGGGAGTGTGGCTGGTGACATGAGGTCTGGTGTGTTGAGAGTCGGGCTCGTACTGGAAATTCGGCTATGCGGGCATGAGTCAGAGGAGAGATGGAGGCTGCAGTATGCCGCAGTGTGCGAAGAAGCCTAAGAGCTTTGTGGAGGCTGCATGGAAATGAGGATGTTGCAATATACTAGAAACAGTGTTCTGAAAAATTGTCCAAGCAGGACTAATAGAATTTTCAGGTAGTGTTTGAGATTTTAGATGAGGAAATAGGCGATCCTTTTCTTCCTTAGAGAATAATCATTCAGAATTAGAAGAGCTTTCTGAAATAGGCTCTAACTGAAATATTAACTAGTAAGTAGTGGATACGCATCAAAAATAGGTAGAATGTACTGAAGAATATGTTGGATATCTCGAACTCGATATCGAGCAGTATTATCTTTAGAGTCACGTACTGATACTGAACCAACACCTAGCAAAACTTGACATAAGAAAGAATACTTAGATTAGAATGGCTTTGCCCAATTTGAAATGAGAAAGTCCATACTCCTTTCTATATATACACTGAAATGACTACTTTTCTATTATAATGCCATTCTTTTGGTAAATCAGTGTTCTCTAAGTAAATAACCTTCTTTTGAGTGAATTAGTGCTAGAGTTATAGTATTAATAAAATAAACCCCAAGTATCAATTTTCAGGAGTTTAAATTCGTGATAAAAACATAGAAGTGTTGTGATGTAAGATGAACATGAATGTTTTATTATCAAACATGAATCCATGATAATTCAATGCATTTCATTTTTAGTAATGGTATGGAAAGATGGAGTATTTACTCATAAAGATCCATGAAATTTTATCAGTATCTTAAACATTTCTTTATAGGCTTAGGAATCATCCTTCTCCGTCCATATCTATGGAGTGATTTGTCAACTTTATTTTTTGCCAAATTATTCTGCATGAATTTTAGTCATGTTGGTTTTGGTGTCTTCTTTTTACTTCCTAATCATTCTACTTAAATAATTTCACTAATTTTATCCGTTCATCTCTACTATCATACATTCAATGGGTGTGACGGGGTTGTTGTTATATTCAAGGTTGGCCGTGGGTTGGAAGAAGGGATGGGGGAGTGAAGCAGACGGGATAGGGAAGTATGGGGAAGAACTAAGCTAGGTTGTAAATCCTTTGGCAACGAATTTAATTTTCATCCATCAAAACTTAATTTTGATTAACATACTTCGTCTATTTATAGTGATAGCAGGAAAACTAAATGGTCATAACATCCATAAATGTACTTTTGTACTAGAGGAATGAAAAAAGTGAGAGTATAACATAATAAAGTTTAACTGCATGAAATACATAACCGGTTAAGCGGATGATCCTATTAGCTTAATCTTGGATCCGTCCAGTTAATGTTGGTAGCTGCATGTAACCTTGAAATTGGGTAATGAACTGCCTCAGGCAATGAATGCTAGACATTTGGAATATATATATATATATATATATAGTATAAAGTAGCATTCATTTCCTAATGAATCTTGTTGTTTTTGGAATATTAACTGTGCATGTGATAACCGATATGAAGGTTTCTATTGACAGAACTACAATAGATTCATGTTTTGATCCCTAGGCTCTTTTCTTTTCATTTATTTTGTTCAGACATCATCAAATTTGACAGTATGAAGGAATGCCAAAAGAGGGCAGAAGTACAGTGTGGGAATGAGGTCCATGATTTTATTAATCTTATTTTAATTTTCAATTGTTATTTTTAAATTGAAGTTTTACAATTAATCTAAATGATTATGTCAACTTGAAGGTCTAATATAATAAATTGCATGTTTTATCAATGTAAATCATTCAAAAAATGAATCTAGTGACATAATGCTCAAGCATATTCATATATTCTTTATGATAGAATTATCAAATTCTGTACTTAATTTATATTGTTAACTGAGTCTTATGTCATTGGTATTAAAATGCCTCGCCCATTTTCCTTGATGTCAAAATATATAGTGGGGAATTATTTCACCTCATGTTGTAAACCCTTACCATTCATTGCAAATAAAATATCAGCCACGAATTAAACAAGAAAACATATCTTACTTCTAAATGTTTTGTATCTTCCTTTATCCATGGGTGTTTGATATGTAAATACAAAAGAATTGTGTTCTAGGTATGTAAATTTCCCTATATTTTATAACTACTAGTGACATTCCTTGGGTACACTAACAACGTCCATAGGAAGTTTCATTGGTTTGGAAATAAAAGGAACAATTATGTACATACCACTCAATTTCTATGTATTTACATTAACACCTAAACTTTAATTTTAACATACATTTCACCTTACATATGCATGAAATGGTGTATTTTATTTTTTAAAGTGATATAAAAGATTTGTGTTTTATAAATATAAAAAATATAATTTTGATGTCCAATGTGTACATACATTAGAATTGAGTGGTATGTATGTAAATGTCCTTTGATAAAATAGTCTCTCTTCAAGCAAAATGCCCGCTTGATTCCTCCATTTACAAAACTCCAAATTGCCAAAAGGGAAAAAAAGGAAGGTCTTGTATTGATGCGTTGCAACCTTATGATTTCACAGATTAATATTCTTTATGCTGTCCAAAAAATTTAAGCAAATGCCTTAATGAATTTATATTTAGCCTGTAAATTTATTTTATGTTTTGGCGGAATTTCTGTTTCACATTATATGACATTCTTTTCTTTATATGTGATTGTATTAATGTATGTTCTTATTTCATCTTAGGCTTTTATAGCATATATTTTCATTATTGTGGTGTTCTGTAAATTGTGTCCAGAATAGAAAAACAACAAAATCTTCTCACTTGATGCCAATGCATTGTGTTTGGTTTCACAACGACATCAGCAATGGCTGGCATACCATTCAAGCTTTTGGGTTGCATTATTATCTAAATAATTATTGTTCAAAATGTCTTACTTTTCTATGGAATTCATCATGCCAAATTAATATTCATTCTTCGCAGGTGATGTATGAGAGCAAGGCCAGGCTTTTATGCACAGCCGAAACACCTCCAATTGAGCTATTTGAAAAAATTGTTACCATTGCCGATGCGCAAAAGATATCTCCTCGAGGCTCATCGCGGTCTCTGAAGAGGGATGATCTCGATCTGTGTGTGGACAATGAACTCGGATTTGCGAAGGAACGAACAATCAGCAGGTATGGAAAAAGAAAAAAAAATCTTGCAGCGCGCAAACTAAAATTTAGAAATATGTTTTTTTTTTAACATTTACATATCTAATGCTGGTGTCATAATCACATCAAAATATATGCATACAAATGTGCATTACAGTTTAAATGTTAATATTAATGATATTTTTCACGGGAAGTTGAAGAATCGAGTGTTTAATAAGTAAATATTGAAGTTTCAATCCTGGATATCATATATTTATAACTCTCTATGCTCTTTTAATACATTAAAAATATCATTATTATTAACTTTTATAGAGTGTAGGCATAGCTAAAGTAGTATGGGTAGTACAATAAGTAAATATTAAAGTTTCAATCCTGGATATCGTATATTTATAACTCTCTAGGCTCTCTTAATACATTAAAAATATCATTATTATTAACTTTTGTAGAGTGTAGGCATAGCTAAAGTAGTATGGGTAGTAAAAAATCAAAATTTAGGCATTAGACATGTAAATATATAGGAACTGTGTGGTATATATGTAAATCTTTCTTTTTTTTCCTTAATTTTTGTTTGTTTCTACGTTTTGGTCCCTTCAGGTTGACAGAAATGAACAGCAGAGAGTACCTGGAGCAGCATGAATCAAGGTTGCTTGGCAAGGTAAAAGGGGAGGTTGAGCAAAATACTGATGCCTTGCTTGTATGATAATTTATGTGAAAATTATTTGAAGCCTATTTTGGGTTTCATTTGTTCTGCAAGCTGTTGCTTTGTCAATGAATGCCAATATGTTAGATTGAGCATAATGTCTCTATAATGTTGGCATTGTATATTCTTAATAATATTCTTCATAATTAAAAAAATTTGTAATGTATTATATAAGAAATAAGAGCTGTTCTCTGCATGTTGTAGAGGGTTGTATATCTTGGATCAAGGCAGCAATGATTTATTTACCATAGGAATTTGCATGTATTTGATGAATCTTATTTAAAACCTATCATTTTTAGCTTTGGGAATCTGTTCTATTATGTAATTTCATGGATTTATAAGTGTAATAACAATTATTTCACACTTTTGATCATGCCTTATGATTTGGTTCATTTTCTTGCCATTTTTTTGTACACTTTTTTACTTTTATTTATTACCCTTAATCCTTCTCTAGACACCCCATTAGAGGGATTTATAAGACTTGGAGGCA